ACTTCAGCTGGAAGGCTATTCCATGCATCCGCTACCCTTTCAGTAAAGTAATACTTCCTGATATTATTTTTAAACCTTTGTCCCTCTAATTTAAGACTATGTCCTCTTGTTGTGGTAGTTTTTCTTCTTTTAAATATAGTCTCCTCCTTTACTGTGTTGATTCCCTTTATATATTTAAATGTTTCTATCATATCCCTGCCCAATACATTACAGTAGATGATTTACCATCTCACCTCCTTGCTTATAGCTAAACTCCACATGCGGGGGCTCATAGAGAAGGGTGATGCGAGGATCAGACCTAGCTTTTTATTGGCTGATGGATGGTGTTTCGAGGTGTAGAAGGCAACATCGAGTGATTGGGGACGGTGAGTAAAGCTATTGCTCTATCCCTAAACTTACCAAATGTATCGTCTAAGGCAAAGACTTTTTTTTTTTTACTGTAAGAACAATCAGGATGTGGAATTCTCTGCCTGAGGAAGTGGTTTTATCAGATTCCATACAGATGTTCAAACAGTAACTAGATGCATACTTGCAAAAACAGAATATTCAAGGATATAATCTTTCAATGTAGGGTAATAACTGCTTGATCCAAGGATAAATCTGACTGCCATTCTGGGGTCAAGAAGAAATTTCTTTCCTAGTTTGTTGCAAAATTGGAAGTGCTTCAAACTGGGTTTTTTTTTCCCCCCTTGTTTTGGATCAACAGCAAAATACAAATGTGAGGAAGGCTAAACTTGATGGACACAAGTCTCTTTTCAGTTATGTAACTATGTGACCCCTGATAGACACAAATCTGCCTACAATAATCCCAGCCAGAGTACCCGATAGATCACTTATTAACTGAACGGGCATATCATCTTTCATATGCAATGCTTAGACTGACACCACTTCATTGCAAGGATTATCCCAGGACAATTGAGAACTCTGCTGTCACTGCTGCATCAAGGGCAAAACTTGGCATTCATTTCCTGAAGCCTCCACCTTCCCTTCTGCAGATGGCTCTGACCACCACAATCTCCCCCTCTGTTCTAACAAGTGCGATAAAAGAGCCAATAAATTCAAGTATGGCTGCAGGAATAGCAAACATTTTACCCTCCCTCAAATACGGCGAGTTACTAGCACGGCTAGGAAAGCAGGAATGTTTATCTAGCCCCAACAGTGAAAGTAACAAACAAGTCTACAGAGTATAAAATAAAAGGTGCACTGTGCCTTTAACAAACGCACACAATGTGTCGATCACACTACAAAAGGAACACGCTCAGTAATTCAATTATCCTTAAATGGCATACACTGAGAACCAACTGCCCCCGCATTCAGGCCCACTGAGAACCAACGGCCCCCGCATTCAGGCCCACTGAGAACCAACGGCCCCCGCATTCAGGCCCACTGAGAACCAACGGCCCCCGCATTCAGGCCCACTGAGAACCAACGGCCCCCGCATTCAGGCCCACTGAGAACCAACGGCCCCCGCATTCAGGCCCACTGAGAACCAACTGCCCCCGCATTCAGGCCCACTGAGAACCAACTGCCCCCGCATTCAGGCCCACTGAGAACCAACTGCCCCCACATTCAGGCCCACTAAGATACTCCTTTATTTGTAGATCACAAAATCAGTTTGTTCACCCATATTGTGCTCCCCTCAGCATCTTGAATTCTTCCAACTCTGCAGCGATACTGGAGAGCTGGGGAAACGACATCCTGCGCATGTGGACATAGTTCCTTCTTCATATCGCTGATCAGTAATTCATTGTTTTAGCACATTTTTTCACTTATTTGCACTTTGTCACTTTTAACAAATATGTCTGCGTCAGTGGTAGCATGCACATCTACACAATAACAAGTCTATCAAATATGGCCGCATTCCCTCCAGTATATTGCAAGTAACCAAGGACAATGTTACACCCCGAATTGTGAGGGGTTAATAAGCCGCTTGCTGCATACATACAGGGACTGAGAGATACAGGATGCACGCCATAATAAACACATTAATAATTCAGGATGGACAGCCTGAGGACAACAACAAGCCCACAATGTATCAGTTAAACCGACTTTACGACATTAGCCTAAAGCGCCATATGCTAGATCTGGAAGTGACGCAGTGCGGCACCCAGTAGTATCCACTAACAGTGCTATAGAATGCATAGTAATGGCTAAACCTTTTCACAAATAGGCTGGAACCAGCGAATCAAATAACTTGTAATCTATGTCCGAACGAACTGAGACTTCCAGGATTTATTTGTGGATTCTTACAGAACGAATCAGCTAGATCCCAGACATAGATTAAAAGGAAATGGATTTGTTTGGCTGTTTCAGCTAAAACAATGGTGCTTAAACCTAGTACTGACCTGGAGCAGTAAAGGCCAACAGGGATACCCACTGAGAATCAACTGCCCCCACTGAAAAAAACAAACAAAAAAAAAACTGCCCCTACATACAGGCCCACTGAGAATCAACTGCCCCCACATACAGGCCCACTGAGAATCAACTGCCCCCACATACAGGCCCCCACTACTTTCATTAGTCCCTAGCCTTATCTTATAGTTAGGATAGCCTTATGCCTATCCCACGCATGCTTAAACTCCTTTACTGTGTTAACCTCTACCACTTTAGCTGGAAGGCTATTCCATGCATCCACTACCTCTCAGTAAAGTAATACTTCCTGATATTATTTTTAAACCTTTGTCCCTCTAATTTAAGACTATGTCCTCTTGTTGTGGTAGTTTTTCTTCTTTTAAATATAGTCTCCTCCTTTACTGTGTTGATTCCCTTTATATATTTAAATGTTTCTATCATATCCCCTTCCCAATACATAACAGTAGATGATTTACCATCTCACCTTCTTGCTTATAGCTAAACTCCACACGCGGGGGCTCATAGAGAAGGGTGATGCGAGAATCAACTGCCCCCACATTCAGGCCCACTGAGAATCAACTGCCCCCACATTCAGGCCCACTGAAAAAAAAGCCCCCACATACAGAGTCACATAAGATACACTGCCCCCATAGGATACTCTGCCCCCACCTCCCTCCAACATTCAGGGACATTTAGCATCCACTGCCACCTCACACAAAAGGCACAAAACACACTAAAAGTTCCACAAAAACGTTACACATACTGACATTCTAACATGACAAGTGGACTAAAAGTACTAGTTATTAGTGATGGGCTATAAAATGATCATCTATTCAGCTCTTGCAGTGAACAGCTGTAACATGCTCCTCTTATTTGCCAACATGTATTGAAGCGCAGCATTAAGACATGGTAACCCAACTCCCTGCAATGCCTGGGGGCGAGAGGCAGGGCTAGGAATCAGACCAGCAAGGAGACACAGAGAATCTGCATGACAAAGGTAACCTAACACTAACAACCAATTTGTAAAGAAAACACATTTAGCTCTGCTCTCAAATAACCGGGGAAGCGCACACTCCCCAAATAACCGGGGAAGCGCACACTGCCCAAATAACCGGGGAAGCGCACACTGCCCAAATAACCGGGGAAGCGCACACTGCCCAAATAACCGGGGAAGCGCACACTGCCCAAATAACCGGGGAAGCGCACACTGCCCAAATAACCAATACCGCTTTAAAACCTGACAGCAAATAGAGGGCACCTCCTTATTGAAGACTTTCCAGGAGCGTGGAGTTTAATAAAATAAATTATACTTGTCCAACGGATTGAAGCAGTTGCCCAACCTACTTGTCCTGACACAAAATAATAAAATTTACAAGAATTAGGGCCCCTGCTGAGAGCAATGGGCATTGACAGGGTATTTGCTAAACACAGAATTTCTTGAACTTTTTTTCTCCTGCCTAAGTTTTGCCATGTGGATTTATTTTGCAAAAATTATGTGAATTACCCTGAGCTACTTACCCTCTGCCCTCCCACAGCCTGTCCCTTTGTCATAGAGTGTATGCGGTGTATGTCATGAGCGTAGAGTGCTGGCTGGCCGTATGGGAGGTGGGCACGCTGGAGGT